TTGTCTACCAAGTGTATACCGAACTCGAGGCGCGTAGGTATAACTCGATTTCCGACCGTTTGTATGAAGATGGAATACTGTATGTAATATTACCGTATCTATAGTGATTCTTTATACAGACTAAAACAAAAATATATAGTGCAGAAGACAGTAGTAATTTCCTACGTAACATTAAACTGCAAGCAACTGTTAGGAAAATGTACATACAGATGTGGGATAAATACAAAATATGATTGTATGAGCAATAATGTCTCGAAACGGAAGAAAACTTTAATATTCTTTTTGAACCAACTACCCAATTACTAATATTTTCATTTTAACCACTAAACTACAAGTAATTCAATTCTGTATTAATCTGATAGCTAATTCAGAGCACGTTGACGTCCATTCGTACATTTGCACATTCAACGAGAAATCTAACCATTTTGCACGTTTCAGCAATAACTAGTGCTGTGTTACCTATCGAAACATTACTAGCGCCCCCGACTTTGTCCATATTTAATCAGGTTTATCTATACATATAATAAAATTGTAACTAAGTCGAATCTGTACATTATTTTTATTTTTTTATATCTAATAGGTATAGACATTAATATCGATACAGAGTCCGAATCTATAGTTTTTAGAATTTTTATCTGTCTGTTACCGCATCACGAGAAAACCAGTGGACCGATTTTGATGAAATTTGGTATAATGATAGCTGGTTACCCGGGTCAACATATAGGATACTTTTGACTGTGGGAAAATATCTCATTTCTGAGAAAAAATACAAAAACTGAATTGTATAAGTATAAGAATTTGGTTTTTGGTCATCTGAACGCAGGCGGAGCCGCGGGCAATGCTAGTATTATATATATGAATATCAGTCAATATTACTGAACTTCAGAATGGATATAGCTTAATCTATAATAGGTGGCCCGCAGCTCTACCCACGTAGTTTATTATATATACAGGGTCATTTTTAATTTATTGAAAACCTTTTGGGAATACACTATTTACAACATAACAACAACATCTGTAAGAAAAAAAAAATCTTAAATTTAACAAAAATAAAAATATTTTTATTGCACCTTCTAAACGGTAATAGTCCAGCATTAGCAAAAGAAAGTGCGTGTCCGGTGGAGGGAGAGGGGTGGAGGGGTGTAGGAAGCCGCGCTTACTCATTTAAACTTGGCCAGATGCTAGAACTTTAAAGTTTAGAAGGTGCAAAAATAATATTTTTATTTTTGTATGAAAATAAAAATTTAAGAAGTATTATTCTCTTTGTTACAGATGTTGTTGTTATGGTGTAAATAGTATATTCCCAAAAGGTTTTCAGTAAATTAAAAATGACCCTATATATACAAATGCACGTAGCATTTGTTCCGCTCTTAAAGATCACATCATATCAAAATATATCATGAATCTAATTACCTAAATCTAAATTAAAACAATGAAAATAATTCTGTTACATTCTTTAAATTGTTCAAGCTAGAGGATAAAATTGTTTAATATTTATTCTCTCTACGCTGCTCTTGAATTCATTTGAAAATAAACTGTAGAATACAAACAAAACGTCCGCATTTTATATGAATTTGAACTTTAAAAACAACATGAAAAATAAATCTTGCTCTTTTATATAGTATTTATTTATTCCGATTTTCTTAAGAAATATATGCCAGAAGAACAGCTCTGTGACCTCTTTCCTCTCCATCTTCTGCTTTTAATCTGTATAAAGGCAATAATTAGTGTAACATGAAGTCGATCGGATCGATATATTTATATAAATAGCTTAAGCTATTATACCTATATAAGTTCGGTGCGAACCTCCTTTGAATGTGAGCGGAATCAATCCATAGTCCACCAGGCAAGCCAAGTACGGGTTGGCGGACTTCACATATCTTTCAAAAACTAGTTAAATTCTCTTAGACCCACTGGTTTCTTAACGATGTCACCCAAAAATATCAGGAGTGGTAGACTCGGGTCCAAAATATCCCACTGTATTTCCTTTACATATCGGAATTAAATCCAATGAGTCAATTATGACATGATATCAGATTTATTATGAATACACATTACTAGAAGTACATTCAGGTGTACCGAATTTCATCCAAATTGTATTTGTGATTGTAGTAAAAACACCCAGACGTGTTCATAAGGTTGTAAATTAATTCCATTTAATATTTAGAAAACTATAATAAAATCGTAAAAGCTGCTAACTTAAGTGTTCTTTGAAAACTTCTAAACATTGCCTTAGAAGTTTCAAGCACTGCATCGAAAGGCATAGAGCGGTCATATTTAAACATTCAACGATGGTATATGGACAAAACCGGTGGAAGAAATCTATACATATAATAAAATTGTAACCAAGCTGAATCTGTACATTAAATATTTTTTGGAAAATTTTATTCCATAGACATTTTATCGATACAGAGGCCGAATCTATAGTTACTTATTCTAATAGTTACGATTTTTGTCTGTTTGTCTGCCTGTTTGTTACCGCATCACAGTAAAATCACTGGAGGGATTTTGACGAAATTTGGTACTGTGATAGCTGGTTATTCGGATCAATATATAAGATACTTTTTACCGCGGGAAAATGTCTCATTTCTGAGAAAAAATACAAAAACTGCAATGTAAGAGTATACTAATATGTAAAACCTAAGAATTTGATTTTCGGTCGTTTGAACGCGGGCGGAGCCGCGGGCAATGCTAGTTAGCAATACGAATTAGCAACCTTTGTCGGAATTATTCAGTCTACCCAAGAACAATAATTTGTACAACTAGAACTCTGCTAGACCTTTTCAGTTTCATTATAGAGAAACAATGAAATATATACCTTATGACGTTCATTTAAAGTCTGTACTGCATTAACATAACTCATACCTCATATTTCCAAGAGGCTGCTCCAAATATCTGTTGAATCATTTCTATTTGTGTTAATGCTTATCCTTTTATTGGCTATCTCCAGGATTCACTAAGAAATTACTTTGAGTGCTGCTTCATTATTTTCTTACAACAATAGAATGATATTGTTTTTATATTATATATATACTAGTGACTCACCCTTGCTCCGCTCGGGTTCGTCCCTAAGTTACGTTTTAACATTTAGTATAGATTTCTCAGAGATGAGATAAAAAGTATCCTATATGTTGACCCGGATAACCAGCTATCATCATACCAAATTTCACCAAAATTTGTCCAGTGGTTTTCTCGTGATGCGTTCCCAGACAGACAGATAGACAAAAGATCTAAAAAAATAGATTCGGCCTCTGTATCGATAATAATGACTATTTCAATAAGATTTAACAAAAAATATTTTATGTACAGATTCAACACAGTTAGAATTTTATTATATGTATAGACTACTCAATTAGCTGAATACACCTCTCGTGTAATTTATTTTGATCGTTTCTTGCTTATGTTTATATCTTCTTAGGTCTTAGGCTTCCTCTTTCCGAACTGGTAGTAGAATCATGACGTTCAGTAAAAAATTGTAATAATTTAATGCTGAATCAAATATTTTGAATTTTAATTTGGGTATACAACGAAATTAGTCGTATTGTAACCCATTTCAAAGAGAGAAGGTAATTCGGTTTGCTATTTTGTGTGTTTGTTACGCAATATCTTCGATAATTTAAAAAGCGATTTATGATTCTTTATTAAACGAATAGATGTAGCATGTACGATTGCTGATTCAGAGATCCTGGGTTCGAGACCGGGGTCGGCAAAAAATAATTAATGACTTAATGAAAGTGTCAGGAATGGAGAGTACACTTGTATACATACATTTGTGCCCTATAATACGAGTATTTCTCGCGCACATTGCTATTCTCAATGAGAATGGCAAGTGTGGCCGAAATCAGTCAGGAAGACATTATTATTTATTTGCTAACATTGTCCGCAGCTCCGCCCGCGTTCAGATGACCAAAAACCAAATTCTTAGGTTTTACATATTAGTATACTTTTACATTGCAGTTTTTGTATTTTTTCTCAGAAATGAGATATTTTCCCGCGGTAAAAAGTATCCTATATTTTGACCCGGATAACCAGCTATCACCATACCAAATTTCATTAAAATCCCTTTAGTGGTTTTTCTGTGATGTGGTAACAGACAGACAGACAAAAATTCTAAAAACTATAGATTCGGCCTCTGTATCGATAATTATGTTTATTTCAATGAGATTTTCCAAACAATATTGAATGGACAGATTCGGCTTAGTTACAATTTAATAATGCTTATACATATAAGCATTATTCGTATAGGAAACCAACACAATATACGGTGCTATTTATCTTTCATTGATAATTCCGTATATAATATTTTTTTACCCTATACACCACACATATAGACTAATTTATTTTTATTTTTAGAATTTTCACTTAAGTCAAATTTTTTTGTTGTCCTTTTAATATGTGTTTTTATTTTGTAGTAATTTTTTGTTATTTTTTTTATTTTATGTTTTAAAGTTTAAACTAATTATCATGTTTACTCTACCTGTGAGATATTTATAGGTACTAACTTTGCTGGTGTGTGAATGTTTTTATTTAATAATTATTTTCATGGATTATTTCACTGTTTGTTTCCCTAAAATAATAAATAAAAAATAACTCTAACTTATACTACGTATCTATCCTACTAAAAATAAAATACTTAATAAATTTGTAAAAAGTAAAGTAAAAAACAATAAACAATAAATAACCATGCATAAAAAATATAACAAAAAAATATACATAAAAAATTGTAAAAAGGTGAAGGTTTAAAATTTAAAATGGTATAAAAAGTTATTTCCGAAAAACAACAAAAAAATATAAAAACTACAACTAAAATGATAAAATATTTCAAAACAGTAAAATAAACACATTGCACTTTGTAAATGTTCCAAAATCATAACTATTTGGTAAGAAGTATAAGTAATCAGTTGATATAGAGTATAGAGAAAAGTGATAAAATATGAATAACATAAAAAAATTAGTTTGGTTTCCAAAACCTCGCTAAGAGTAAATTATCTTTTTCACAGTTTCGTCCCTCCCAAGTCCAACAACGGAGGAGGACGAGGATGAAGACGAAACTACGCCCAGCCGGGCGGACGCGGACGACGACGGTCGTGTGTACAAGAACCCGCGGAATTCTCCATCAGCGCAATGTCCACGGGACGAGGAGCAAGCTACGCTGCTCGTAAGTTTGCTTTTATTCTGATAAAGCAGATTATATTAAGTATTTCTATTATGCGCTTATATTTTTTAAGCAGTTTCATTTCGATTTTTGTTTCCGACGTTTCAAATTTTAATAGGAGCTACAGTAAATATGGTCACGGGAGAGGTCTCATAAGGAAGACCGAAAATATAGTTTTATTTAAGTCAAAAATTGGCGTAAATCCAAGAGAGTATTAACTATGTTGTGCTTTTTTAACAAGAAACTGTGTTCTCTTGAGTCAGGTGTATTTTTTATTGCGACCCGATTTTAAATAGGCTGTACTTTGACGGGGCCATTGTATTTTTAATAAGACATCTATCTAATTATGATGAAACAATTCGTTTTAAAGTCAAAATTTAATAATAAAAAGTTACTTTTACATAAACACGAGCTTTTGATGTTACGGCACTGTTGTAAGCCCCATAGTGAAGCGTATACCTAATAATAAATAAATATATTTATGTAACGTATTCTATGATGCATATAGTGCAGAAAAAGAAATAGCTCATAATTTTTTTTTCTAGTGGTTTTTTTAGGTCATGGATTACCAATTCAGTTGAATTGTAATCTTTCGATATATGGTATAACTTACTTCACTAGTTTAGAATATAATCATACCTTCGAGGAACAATATTGTAACTCAACATTTGTTTTTTTTTTGAAATATTATTAATAAAATGAGATATTAATTTATATTTTTTAAATTATTATGTTTTAAGTTTAAATTAATAGTAATCTAAATGTATATAAAATCAATTGTAGTTCGTTAATCTCCTTAATACTTAAAAACGGCTGGACCGGTTAGAATAATATTTTTTTTTGTTTTGTAGGGAGATATGTCAGTATGTTAAGTATAAAAAAATAGAGAAAATCCAAAAAAACTATATATTCCATACTAACCGTTATTTAAACGTACCTAGTTATGAACCCGAGGCGAGTATGAGTCGCTAGTAATTTATATTTTTGAGGCTTTCTTTAAGCATTTTTATTTTACTAAAAAGTTCACGTAAGGTAAGCAATAAATTTTTATGTTATCTTTTAGGGTCAAAAATGTCTCCGCAAATGCTCATCGGATGAGGACTGTAAAAGTAAGAAGAAGAAGTGTTTGTGCGATGGGGCGTGCGGAATGTCGTGCATTAAACCAGGTGAGTTAAAAAAATATGTATGAAATAGTGCGCTGGTAATAGACATCTATAATAATATTTTTTTTTGACAATAACACACAGCACCATCTAGTTCCATGGTAAGCTACGAGGCTTGTGTTATGGATACCAGATAGTTGATACACTACACATATATAACTTTAAATACATACATATTATAAATATAAATACCCATGACTGGAGTACAAACATTCGTCATCACACAAAATGAATGCCCCCAGCGGGACTCGAACCCGCGACCGCTGGCACAGAAAGTAGGGTCACTATAAACTGAGCCAAGTGTCGTAACTAAGCCGAATCTGTACATTAAATATTTTTTGAAAAATCTTATTTAAACAAACATTATTATCGATACAGAGGCCGAATCTATAGTTTTAAGAATTTTTGTCTGTCTGTCTGTCTGTTACCGCATCACAGAAAAACCACTAGAGGGATTTTGATGAAACTCGGTATGGTGATTGGTGATAGCTGGTTATCCGGGCCAACATATAGGAAACTTTTTACGCAGGCAAAATGTCTCATTTCTGAGAAAAAATACAAAAACTGCAATGTAAAAGTAGTTTTGGTCATCTGAACGCGGGCGGAGCCACGGGCAATGCTAGTTTTACTACATTTTTGGCCGGCCAACAGCATATACCGTATGTATGGAATCGACATGTTCTGTCAATGTCACTTGTCAACAAAATTTGGCTATGTCCTATGCCATTTTGCATAACATTGTGAAGTAAGCTGTGCTCTAATAGCTCGTTTTCAAGCATGAAAATTTAACAAAATATTCTCTCTGAGGATCGTTTAGCTAGAAAACTGTCTAATGTGTGGTATATGGAGGAGGAGTGGGATAGATTAGATGGTGGCGTAGATTTTTGAATAAAAGATGTGATGATGAGTCTAAATATGTAAACATAATTTTGATTTTATTTTGAAATCATTTTTTAATAACTTTGTAGTATCTGAAAAAGATTAAATAAATTTTGATTATATTTTCATAATTGCGCTTGCAAAATTTAAAAATGTAGAAATTTGTAATATTTTAGCATTTCATTTAAAATATGAGTAGGTACGTACCACTATCTGCTTAACAAATGAAAAAGAAATTTCTAGAATAAAGATAACGAATGAGAAAAAGTACCTACCCATATCTAGGGGGTATTCACCCAATATCGAACTTACTACCCTTGTAATTTCATTTTAGTTGTCACAGAATGAGGGGAAAAGTAAATATTGAGACCAAAGTCACTAACGAGTGTTACCTACATTGTTTATAGTATAACCTTAAATAACTTCTAAGGCAGTGGGTACATTGTACAATATGATGAGAAAATGAGACATGCATATATTTAAATTAAGTTTTACTTACTTGACTGACTTCAAATAAGAGCAGTATAAATCTATACTAATATTATAAAGAGGCAGAGTTTGTTTGCTTGTTTGAAAGCGCTAATCTCAGGAACTAACCCGATTTGAAAAATTATTTTTGCATTAGATGGCAAGTTTATTAAGGAAGGCTATATGCTATATATCATAATGCTACTACTACTACAGCTGAGCAGTAATATAATATATAGTCTATTTATTCAATATTAACCGTAAAAACGTACATAGGGACGAACCCGAGCGAAGCGAGGGTGAGCCGCTAGTAACACAAAACAAACTAAATGGATAATTTCTTTTCAATTTTAAATTAATAATAACTTTCGCACGTTTTCTCACGTTTGGACCCAACATTATATAGTTAACTTCTTACAAGTCATCGCTATGTGAGAATGTGATGGCAAAACCTACTTATTACGTCACTCTTGCAACATAACTCGTGTGCTGCTTCCTTATATAAAGATTATAGAAACAAAAAGTTTAGGAAAGTTGATACGCTAATATAAAGATGCTTTATTTATTTCTCAAAAGCATATGAGAAAAAATTACAAGTACGTAGTTAAATATTATTTATATCGTCATTTTTAATTAACAACTTAATACAAAACAAAAAATATATAGTGTAGATAAACAAACATCAAACATAAAAGTTAAAAAATAGCAAAGTGCGAGTCAGATTCTGGCACCAACGCGAACGGCAACTCGACATTATTTCATTTATTTGTGTGAATTCTTGTATGAATAAAAGCGAATATTATTGATTAATCACGATATTTGCAAAATTGTAAATGCTGCTTGAAAAATGGCATTTGAAAAATTGTCTTTTTGGTGGCTTTGCCCGTCTGGCAACACCCAGCATGGTCTTAGACTAACATCCTATAAATAGCAATATTCGCTGAGTATTCTAACGAATCTACTACCTTGGCCGTTGAAAATTGTGACATTTCTACACACCATACACCGATGGGCGTGATCGTCTGTATAAACAGAAATATCTAAAATAGTCTGTACAAAGTGATTTTATGTAAAAAAAAACAAAATAAACTTGTACTATTAAAAGAATTTGCATTTTATTTTTATCATGCTTTAATTATGGATACAAAATAAATTGAATAATCATAAAAATTCAGAATTTCAATCATTTTTCAAAGCTGTTTTAAAACAATTTTACTTTTGTTGTCTTTTTGGAAACGCAAGATTCTAAGGTTTTAAAAGATCGTCTATCTTTTAAGTAATATTTTACGATTACTAAAAACACTAAAATAGCCACATTAACTTGTTTTTTTTTTTAAGTTTACGGTGTTTTTTAAAAAGGACCATTTTTTTGCGAAAATGTTCGTATTTATCTATTATTTTCTGAAATTGCATGGGAAATCAAATCAATTTATTATATTTATAATATGTCACTTATTTTTCAAGATATCGCGTAAATAGTGAGAGGGCTAGACTTTTTTTCTCAAAAAAAAATGAATCTGATATTAACAAATACCATGGCAGATCCCCCGAGATATATAATAATAATAATAATCTTTAATTCAGGCAAAAACCCATAATTACACAAAAAAAACTATAGATTTGAGTCATTCTCTTCGATAATTTTACGCATATTTTCATAATTTTTTAGGCGATCACTTCTCCTTATTTAACATTGTATATTGATTGTGTATTTACATTATTAATCAAGTAATTACATCGACACACAAACTTATTTATCCAGCAGCCAATTACAGTGCATGGCAAAGGTTTAATTAAATCAAACTGAGATAATTTTGTATGTACAAAATACGTAAAAGGATTTTAACGCTAGTAAATACTTTTTTCAAGTTGAGCAATTTTTTTAAATACATAGCTATATATTTAGAAATATAATTAATTTTTTTTTTTTTTAAATAATAGTAGGTAGAATTATAATGGGATCAAAGTAGTACATAGATGACATGTTTGGCTCAGTTTGTAGTGAGCCTACTTGCTGTGCCAGTGGTCGCAGGTTCGAATCCTGCTGGGAGCATTCGTTTGTGTGATGACCACGAATGTTTGTACTCCAGTCATGGGTGTTTATATTTATAATATGTATGCATTTAAAGTTATATATGTGTAGTGTATCAAATATCTGGTATCCATAGCACAAGCCTCGTAGCTTACTATGGAACTAGATGGTGCTGCGTTTTAATATCCCACAGATATCTATAAATATAATATATTTATAGACGCCTATGAAGCCAAAAAGTAATTGCAACAGTTTTAATAAGAATTTTTATTTGTTAGTGTGCAATCAAACCGTACCAAAGAAAGTATAGGCGAATTTTTGCGAAGAATGAAATAAAATAAAACTAAAATTTATCACAATTATTCGAGTTTCTAAAAGCAAAGTTTGAAATTTCCGATCATAAATAAAAGCATTTTATATTGATATACTAACGTGTATATTATTTATTATTGTTTTATCTCAGCACAAACTCATACTCGTATATAGAGTCTATGTGCAAATATGATTCTATTACAATTATTATACTACTTGTATATAATAAGCCCAGTGGAGATAGTGGTAGTACTAGTCCAGTACTAACGCACTCAATTGGGTAACTAAGTGAAACGGGTTCAAATACCGGGCTAGCATCGCTGATATTTTCAAATACGTATCATTTCCAACATGATTAGGCACTTGTCTTACGGTGAAAAAAAACCTGCATGTTAAGAGAATCTAGCAAGTTTTCGAAAGATATGTGAAGTCCGCCAACCCACACTTGGCCAGCTTGGTGGACTATGACCTTATCCCTCTCGTATTGAAGGGAGGCCCGTGCCTAGCAGAGAGCGTTAAAAAAAGGCTGAATATACACACAGCGCTGGATTTACAGTAGGCCACTTAAGGTTAGTACCCAGGGCGGCAAGTTTTTAGATACGTCAAAAATTCGGAGGTTAGAATTTTTTTTATCGCGTTATCGAAAATGCTTTTTTCTTTTCCAAAAATGAAATTATTAAAAAAAATTTACTAGTACATTTTTCGAAAAATTTAAATTATTTAAAAATCTGTTTTTTGCATTTTTCAAAAAAAATAAAATAAAAAAAAAATCAACTTTATCGACACTTTACCCATTTTATGCAAAATTTCGATAATAGGACGGCATTTTTTACAGTGCCCAGGGACAGCGCTAAGGTTGAATTCGGCACTGTACACACATACGTATATATGGTTGTGAATAAAAAAAGAAATAGAGACCTTTTCTGTATTAACATTAATCTTTACTTTGTCTTAAAAGTATCTTAAACAAAGATATATTCTATAAAGCACTCTAGCAGCCATTGTAACCTTCCTCCCATTATTTACCTTCCGGTGCTTAGGCTTACTTCTACATCAGAATACAATTTTATTGGAGTTACCATTACTATTTGTATATACAAATAATCAGACTAATATTATAATTGCGAAAGTTTGTATGAATGTTTATTATATTTATAATATGTATGTATTTAACGTTATATATATGTGTAGTGTATCAACTATCTGGTATCCATAACACAAGCCTCGTAACTTACCATGGAACTAGATGGTGCTGTGTGTTAATGTACCAACATATTTATTTATATTTATTTATTTCTTGACTCTAAAATGA